CCATTGAATAGACAGACACTACCATTAAAGAGAGGAAGATGCAAGTCTCTTGGTACTGACTGGGGCAACTCATAAACCTGTTTTGCTCCCCAACAAAAGGCAACTCTTATCTTTAATGACTTTTTTTTTTTTTTTTTCCCCACTGGAGGCAGCCATTTACTGCCAGCATCTCACACCTCCACTCTCAAGCTGCTGTGAGTTTGCTGGATGCTTCATCTGCTTTCCCCTAAGGCTAAAATTCTCTCCTTCCCCCTGCAAGGCAAAGCTTTGTCAACCCTCCCCAGCTGGAAACATCAGTTTGAGCCTAAAACTTCTCTGGCATCCAAACTCACTTCCTGCAAAAGGAAGTGTACAGACAGTGGACTTTAGTTATCAAAATTATTTCATCCTCTTCTTAACTAGCCTGCCTGAATAATTGGATGCTATATATTTTAATGCTGACAGATTGAGGGGTTTCCTTAATGGTGAGACTGTAGTACTTCAAAAGCCATCATTTTCTTGTCTTATATTTTGGGTTGGTTGTTCTTCAATCATACCCTACAGATACGTAAAGAGAAGACAAAGAGAAGGTACATTTTTATCAAAACCTGCCCAAGTCAAGAATTATAATGATTTCTAAAGCTTCACATAGAAAAACATCGTAAGACCATACTTATTTATTGTGTAAAATCACTACTCACCAATAAGCCATTTCATGAAAACTAAATACATGAAATGCTTGTTTTGCTGGGAGTAGAGAGTTCAGACATCTTCTCACCCATATGGAAGTTACGTGCAATCAACCCCAAATCTCAGGTGGCCAAACAGTGTAAAACAGCGAGTCTCAGGACTGCAGCATTTGATTTATGGGCAGCTGAGCACCACAGGCAGTGAAGGCTCCTCCTTAGTTTGGCAGCGCCTCGCATTTTTTGCTACGATGACTACTGCTGCAGAGATCTGTTGCCATCAAAGGGCCCAAGCTGGTTTTGCATATCCATGGGGTCCTCCCTCGGTGCCATTGTCACTTTTAGCAGCCAGAATATTCTGCCTTTGTCTGGATAGGGGGAAGCTAATGCGCTACCTGGCATATCACGACGCATAAAATGCCAAATCCAGGTAAAAAATGACAAATCAAATAAAGCAACATCGGAAAGCTGCTTATTCCACAGCTCATGAATCCTCTTTTCCCACCTAAGTTGTCAATTAAAGCAGCTTCTATTAAATAGAGCAGTCCAGGACTGTGGGGCAGCAAATGCCCCAAGGGCTTGTGAGTTTCCAGTGGTCTTTCTGCTGGTTTTACCTGCAGCTGGGTTTTGGGGTTGGTTTTTAGTTTTGTTTATTCCCAATGAAATTCCTCACTGTTTTAAAGCTGTGTGGTTCCCATTCCAAAAAGTTCTGTTAACTCATGCGACCTCTGAAGGAATTAAACATGTTTTGCTTCCTAAACGGAAAGCCGCTAGAATATTTACATAGTGAAGTAGTCTCTTAAGATTTATCTCCTCCTTCCTCCTGGATTTTAAAAGAAAATAAATTCCACTTGCTTGAAGTTGATTTTTGCTTTAATATTTTTAATGATGTGTTGAGGACAGTGGGCTGGAAGAGCAGGGATTACAGTGCTCAGTTCTCTTCTCAATTTTGTCAGGGACACGTGTTAATTCAAGTAAACTCTGACCCTCCTCTCCTGTTCCTCCCCAGCACACGCTGTTTTCTATTGTGTAAAAGATGTCTCAAGATATGTAAGGCTTTAGACTCTTACAGGTTTATTTAATACTGAAAATAATGCCTTTCGCAGAAATGCAAAACATTTTTTCATGGGTTTATTACACTTCCTTTTAATTCCTGTAGATCCTTTAAATCACGTTTAAATTGTCACTTTTGAAGCACAATATCATGTTTAGTGTTTAAAAACTGCAAAAATTATTTTTGTACTTTCTTCACTATCCTCCCATCTGCCAAAACTCGGGCCTTTTGCAAAAATCAGCAAATTGACGTCAGCGCGTTTACCCTTAGGGATAGTAAATTATTGCACAGCTTAAGTTATAAAAATAAATAACTAAGGAGGGTGGAGAAAAGAGATGGAAAACAACAAAAATCTATCACAAACTCTCCCTGGATTGTGAAGAATATATGATTATAGCATTAAAATGTCCAAACAATGCAACCGAGCAGAAGGCGTTAGAGCTTGGGCCTTAACTGGCTCTGCATTAAGCAGCGTTAATGTTTTTATACAGCCTTTGGAAAGCTCAGAATTGACCTGTTTTTATTATTTTTATTGGCTCCCTTGATGATAGACAAATGGGGCTAACCTGAGGCCAACACAACCAGCAGGAAATTTGGGTCATGGGTAGTTACATTTTTAAAACTTGTGTTTTAGGGTTGTTCAATCAGGGTAATTGATTGATTGTTAGGCGGTGCAGGGAGCCCCTAAATCATCAGAGGTGGCCAGGTAATGACAATCTGCCAGTGGATTTTGTTTGAGGCAAATTTCCCAGCTCCCTGCGGAGCCGTGCTCTGCAATGAGGCTGAGAGTCCGTTTTTTTTTTTCATACACTCTCCAGTCCAACTGGCCTGTTTGGACAAAATAGCCTCTGAAACTTGGCAGTTCCATTTGAAGTCCTCTGTAGTGCCATTTCCCAAGAGATAAGGGAAAAACATTCCAGAGAAGTTCATACCCCAGAAAGACCCTACGTGTGTTCTGAAGTTAACGGTTTATTATAGCTCTCTAATTTTTTTTTTTTCTCTTTCATTTTTACTTTGAAGATAAGAGGTGGCAATTGTTGCTTCAAGTTGTTGAGTTCTAGCCCGCCCTACAGTAAATCATCCTGAAAGTTTAGACCAATTTTTTTTTAATCATGTATGTTTGAAAGTTTGCCAGAGATGCTGTACACGTGTACTTTCCGGAGCTGCTATCCTCAAGCAGGAGCTGTTGACCCTTATGTTTTATACGACCATATGCATCCCCAGTGCTCCATGCATTTGGATAATTTGTGCATGCAAAATAGAGGTTTTTCAAGAGCACATCTTTGGTGTTGTAGGATCACGAGTGACATATTTAGAGATGGGGTCACGTAGAGAGTTTGTGTGTTGGGAGGGGGAAATAGATGACGTGCCAGTAGATGGTAGATGATGTTCAGAGATAGGGCTTGACTATCCCTAAAAGTGAATTCAGATTTTTATAGATTGAAGTTTGTCATCTGTTCCAGAATAACTCCACATGTAGGTTAATCTTTGGTTCTTAGATTTTTAGGACCGAATAGGCTTTTGTTCATTGCAGGTGGCTTCCTCCTGGTAGCTGCATACCTCTGAATTCCTTGAAGTTCTGTCTTTTTCCATTTTAGGATCTGGATGATCTCATATTTATTGTGCTGGCGTACAGATGAGAATTTCTTTGTGTCACTTTTCAGGGAAGAGAGCAGGTAATACTTAACAGAGGCAGGGCTGAGTTGAAATTTGGGAACCAACAGCCTTGTCTTGAGGGTGGCCCAGCTGCCAGCGTATGCCAGACCAGCACCAAAGACCACGGACTTGCTTCCCAGGTGGAGCAGTGCCTGGACTTGCTGTGCATGGGATGTGATGCCCAAACACACACCGTGCCAACCCCTCTCAGATTTCTAAATGTTCCTTCTTGGCTCCCACGTGCTTTTAACCACTGTAGCTTTGTAATTTACTGCTTCAAGTCCACAGTGTGCGCTTACTGTTAGGTCTAGCGTGTGGGCAGTTAGAAAATTCTTCTCCAAGGTATGTGTTCGAATAGGAACATAACATCTGACCACATTAAAGTCCCTTGAAAGATGGGTCCATGGCAAAACTGGTATGTGAGGAGCAGGGTGGGGCCCAAAGTCCACAGAAGTGTTGTTTCCTATAGCACAGGCTGGAAAAAAGTTGCTTGAGAGCTTGAGTAATTCGTGCTTGCTTTATGGTCGTGATCTGTAGTGGATCAGTGTAGGTATAAAAATTACAGTTCACGAGATGCTTGTTAATATTTATGAGGTTGTCAAACAACTGAAACAAAATAGAACCAAAACCAAGACGCCCTGAAGTGTCGTACAGAGTATGCCAGGAGATGAAACTTTCAGTTTCCGTGTTCCTAAAGATAGAATCTGAAATCCCTGCCCAGGTTTCAGAAAAAAAATACTCAGTTGGCAGAAGACCTCGGAATTAAAGTAATGCAGTTAAAAGCAGTGATAAACCTAATTGCATGATCTTGTTATTGTAGAAAACTGTGTCTCTTTCTGGTTTGTTTGCTCTGTATTTTATTTACTTATTGTGAATCTATTTAGAGGGTATATTATTGGCTGTGGTGCCTACTTACCATGACTGTTTGAAGTTACTGTAGTAACAACCAAGAATTAATGTCTGCAGGCTTGACTCTGTGGACTACGAGGGATTTGATGTTGCGCTGTACGCTAGGAATTGACCCACAGGTTTTCACAGGGAGCTGTTTGGTCACAGGGCAAGTGACGCTGGTCACTTAAACCACACACTTCACAGATGGTTCCTTCTGTTTCTAATTTTTTTGGGTGTCTGACCTGAAAGCATTGGGTCAGGTTTGCAGATGTGCTGAGAGCTCACAACAGCAACTGAAGTCAATGGAAGCTGGGCTTTGAGCTCCCTGCTCAAGTACAAAATCAGGCCCAAGGAGAAGGACCAGAGCTTAGAGGATGTGTTTGACCTTGTGTTTTGTACCATTTTTACCAATACTGCAAACATTGGTGCTCCCATCCTCACATCTTACTGGTACATGGAGAAGATCTAATCATCAACCTTTTCAAGTGCTAAGAGGCTGCTGTCCTGAGCACCTAGGAAAAAACTTGTAGGAAACTAATAAATTTGCTGTCTGAGCAGCAAATACGTCACAGGACGATGTGCTGACAAATGAGAATGCAAATATTGGACAATGTTTCATTAAATGAGCACTTATACTATGAGAAATAATAACTTGTGGATGCCAGCAGGAGTATGTCTGGTGGCTGATAAGCACTACGGGGGCAATCTGACGTGATCTTCCCTCTGTTTTTCAGACTATTGGCGAGTCAGACATGCCCAGTGTTTTGAACCAGTTATTGCCAATGATCAAGTCTTACAACGAGAGGACAAAAGATGATTATACCTGCGAGGACTTCCTTATCTTGCTGGTATACATGTATTCTGTGGTCGGAGAAATCAAAAGTGGAAAAGAGCTGGAGGCAGCTGAAGAAGAGGTGAAAAAGGCCCTCGTCAAGGCCATTTGCGATGAGCCGGAGCCACCTCCTGTGTTGAGGAAAATAACAGGTAAGATTCTGCTTGCGCAGTGAGAAACTGGATGGTTGTGAATGCGGGAACTGGGAGAAACATATAAAAGAGGCTTGACTCGTCTGTGGTGCTGAGGGTACATGAGTAAGCACAAGGATTTCCTGTAGGTTTGTTCCATCTCCCATGTTTGTGTATGCCAAATGCTGACAGGCTGTTCTTGAATAGTGCTGAGTCTGATGAAAGCTCTACAAGTTGTTCTTTTTGTTCAAGGTTTGCTAAGTTGGTGTGTTTTCATAAGGTAAGCTTTTCCACAGTTTCTTTCATTGATCAGTGTAAAGTTGACCCTGGGAAGTCAAAATTAATCCTGGAAACATGTTCAGTGAACCACAGTTGTTTTGTGAATGCAAGGAGCTGGCCTGTCTGGCATGAAAGAAGAAATGTGTCTAAAACCAACATTGAGCTTTTTGCTGAAACGACATGAACATTAGCCTTTAAAAATAGCACGCTAAGCCTTTTTTTAGATGAGCACTCATAGAGCAGAAAAGCCCTAACTTCTTGCTGCTGCTGTCACATTTAAAACAAAACAAAAAATTTGTTAAAAACCTTTAATTAAAATGAATGAACTATGGCTCAAGGGTGGTGTATCTGAATGGCAGAAGAGATCTTTCTTGCTGGTGTCACTTTTCTTAATACTATCTAATAGAGAGCAGGTCGTTGACCCAGGTCACCTTTGAGGTAGGGAGCATATGAACATAAAGCAAAATGTTGTGAGGAGCTGACAGCTGAGAGCCTTTGCCAAGAATGGGCCTAAGTGGAGAGTCTCAAGGGCGGTGGAGTAATTCTGCTCTTGGTTATTCTGGTATTATTATTCCCTGTAGATGCTTCTGCTTCAAAATATTGGTGTGGTCTGACCGGTCTGCTCTTGCTTTGAGTGTAAAATAGTTTAATGGTTAAAAGACACTTACTGCAGAAATGGGCATGTTCAGTCATATTTGCACTGTGCTGTTATTTTAATGCTCCTGGCCATGGGACCCGCAGAGTTCCAGGCTTCTTGTAGACTTTACTCTTCTGTTTTACAGTATGTACCACACATCTTGTCCACTATATGGTGCTTCCCTCACAACTTCAGTGGTGTCTCCTACTTGATACGGTGCAGTGATTTCTAAATCTCCATTTTCATATTTTGCATTTTATTCTGTAATTCACAGCGTTTTGGATCACAGTTTTATCAATTTCCCTTTGTTGTGCCTGACATAAGTATGGGAAGATCTGAAATCTCTCAAACTTCAGTCAAGTACCAAAGAGGAGCTGCACTCCTGTGTACATAGATGCTTCCCTTGTTGCTCTCTGTGCTCTTAGGCTATGTAGTTGCAAGCATAGGTGGAGATCAAAATAGACATTGTGATTGTCTTATGTTCCATAACCTGTCAGTAATTCCACAGATTTTAGAAATACACTTGTATGCTTGATCTCCAGTATGTGCATATTTCCTAAGTAAAAGTGAGTATCTGGGTGTTTGCTCTCGACTTCTGGGCAGGTGAATGGAAGTTTCGGTACAAAGATTCTTCAGTTTATGAAATAAAATTACTTCTGTCTTTTTGCCTAGCGGGTGGATTATTAGAAGCATGGTGGGTGTCTGAAGTCCAGCATTCACCTCCATAGGCATAAGCAGTCACTCTGGTACGTGGGGCATCTGCCTGTGAAAAGGAGAAAGCCTCGACGCTGTGCACGCACTGCTCAGCAGCAGCCAGAGCATTCGTCTGTTATCAACGCAAGTTTAGCCACAAATCCAGAACACAGAACCTTGCAAGCTGCTGTGAAGAAAGTTAACTCCATCCCAGCCAGACCCAGTACAGGCAGTTTTAGACCAAGCACGTCATTATTACGTTATGAAGTTAAATACGTAACACAAAGCCAGAGCCGTGGCATCTTTCTCTTTCCATATCTGTGCGTTTGGCACAACCATGTTTGCACTTTCTGCATGAGTGTGTGATAGCGTTTCCCCTTGCTTGCATACTTTTTTTGGTTTGTCAGCATTCTTTGTTTTCACATCTTATTTAGAACGATAGTACTTTTGATTTACTCATATAAGAGGGGCAAAAAATAACAACACTTACTGCCATGACCAAAAATAAGGATTGTCTTGGGAGGAAAGTATAAAACAGAATTTCTAGGAATTCCCCTCAGGTAGTTTTCAAGCCTTTATTCATCCAACAGATTGTTTTCTCAGCATTAGTGGAATTTGCTGAATTGGTAATTTGCTGTGTTTGCAGTACAGTTGAATTGGGAAGATTGAGAAAACACGAGCAGCTCTAGACCTAGTCTTCCTTGACCTGTATTTTGCCAGGCCTGTGTTCTCCATCCTGCTTCCCTCTGAGTCCTGGTTTGAGGTACACCTTGCTCGCTGCTTGAGAGGCAAAGGCAGTCTGGATGGTCCGAGCACCCACAAGCTTCCTTTCAAAGGCACAGCAGGAGCTTCCAACCCTTCCTTTGTGGCAAGGCTGGAAATGGGGGGAAGAGACAGGTTGTGGTCCAGACCTACAGTGTTCTGCTCCTTGTTTTACCTCAAGTCAGAAACAGGAGCAAACCTTTTCTGCTCTTAAACGGCCAAAAATTAACAGAAGTTAATTAGACTAAAATCAATGTCAGTAATTCCTGGAATCTCTCGTTCATAATCAGAACAAAGCAAAAAGTTTGCAGTCTTTTATTTTGAATTTTCCATCAGGGTAAGTGGTAGGAAGAATGTTAAATGAGACATGTCAGGAGAGGAAAGAAGCCAGTTACTGGGTAGATTCGAGACACTCCCTGCTGACTCACTCCTCGCCTCCAGGTTCCCATGTGGGACCCAAGTTCCTGAATATTCAATATCCCTTTTGCAGTAAATCTGCTCTTACTGAGGAACTTCACCTGCAGGGGCTGCAGGTTTAAGTTTCAAACCCTGCTGGCGATGCATGACGGGAGAGCTTTGGTTATAGCAACAGACAGCCAAAGTCATAGTTGCCTTTAGAAAGACATACAGAACACTAGGCAGGCTGCAAAGCACTTCAACGGTGAGAAATGCCAGTAACTCAGTTTCCTGTGCAACCGTGGTTTGAGTCCTGTGTGTGTTGTAGCACAGCCTTCCATTTCGTGATTATATAGTGTATTATCTATGAGCTGTGGCTGCATTCAGTGTATGGACAGGACACCACCACCAGAAGAAAATAGCTTCAGTTATTCTTACACATGGTGAATAAGTACTAATAAAGTAGGTGAGACTTTCTATATGATATTCAGCAATAACTTTCTCTGGGTCTCAGTTTGCAGTTCATGAAGGGGACTGGCACTCTCAGCTTTGCGTGACTCATTTTGGGACTTGAAGAAGAAAAGCATTAAGTTAAATTTATACTTAAATAAAAGGTAGTAGTGATTACATTTCTTTGAACAGAGAGGACTTTGTGCTCTGCTTCCCGATACAGCTGGTGCCTGACGTTTCAGTTTTAGTTTGGACCCAACGCTGCACTAAGGCCGTTTGGTTGATTTAAGCTGAAATGAAAAGCCCTATCTCGGCTGTGGCTCTGAACCGCTGCCCAAGCCTTTTGCTTTCCTCTTCCCTGCAAAGCATGGAAGGAGCACAGTCTTGACAGTGACATTTTTGTTGGTTTTATTTGTTGTTCCCATGGAGTCGCTTGAGAAATAAAATGCAAAACCCTCGTAAAACTTTAGAAAACTTGACTTTCGAGGTCAAGTCATCAGTCGAAGTAATAGCCGGGTTTATACGAGGTATCTTTTATTCCTATTAAACTTGTTAAATGTAAACTTGCTTGCGCTTGCCCCAGTCTGTGCCTGTAGGAAATCTCCAGCCATGTGGCTCCCTCGCAGAACTAGTGCAAACCTCCCCCCCAGGGTGCAGCTCAGGAGCTCACGGGGGGTATTTATGCTGCGTCTGGTTTTTGGTGTTACCCGGCGAAACGGGATTAGTATTCACAGTGGTGGAAAAGGGGGTGATTCTGGGGGCCGTGAGTCTGTCCATCCTGTTGGCCACGCTGGATTTCCCTGATGGAGCCGAGATGATTACAACCCTCTGCAGAATACGTTAAGATGCAGCGCTTGCGTAAGCTTATATTGTGAAAGAAGCATAAAGCCCTCACAATTTCCTGGCTGTTGAGTGTTAGGCTTCGCAGCCTTATTGTTGCCTGAACATATGTTTTCCAAAATATTAGTACAACAACCCTCTGCATTTATGTAGCACCTTGTTTCGCTGAAGCGCTAAAAATATTCTGGAGCCGTTAATTAAAATGAAAATGCAACACGTTAATCGCCCAATGAGGGTCGAGAAATATGATACAATTTTCTTTGCATGCATCATAATATAAAAGTATATTAGTGGTGTTGTGTTTGATGGAACTGTTAAATAATACGTGTTGTGGTAGACTATCTTAATGCCTTGGGTAATAAAACGGAATGTAACAGTTCCAAGAGTTCTCCTGGGTGTAATTTACCGCAGACATATGTTCTTCATCACAGTTTCCAGCAGAATGTTACAAATTGGAGGGGAAACAGAATAGACCAAAACATAATGGAAAATGATGCTTTTCAACAGAATGCTGGGGCATTTGGGGGAGGAGGGATGTTTTTTGGCAGCTATTTAAAAAAAAAAAAAAAGCTGTAAATTATCGTATTTGTTTTATCATTTTATCTGTTAATCTAGTTTTGTAAATGTCCACATAAAGCTGAGTACAGCTACAAACGTAGGCAAAAACAGTGCAAATAGAGCCGCAAAGCAATTTAAAAAAATCTATTTTTTCAGCTGCGGCGTTCTGTCTTTTTCAGCTGCAAATCTCTGTGGGAGCTTTGTAGAGAGATCTGCTTTTCGTGGTGTGCTCTGGAGCTACGCTGCCCACCTCAGTAACTCTCAGCTGGTAGGGCTGTAGCCATCAGTTACACCCTCTCAAGCACAGGAATCCTCTTGTGTCAGGAATTGCTGTTTATCAGCCTCCAAAAATGGAAATTTTTAATCATAAAGTGGATTTCTGGACTTTTTCCTTGCTTTTTCTAAG